GTGGGTGAAGTCCGTGACATGGATGTTTGGAGACCTGGGTTATGATGACACATTCATTGAGAAATCAGTTTACTATCCAGTGTTTTCCAATATCCTTTTTCTTCTTTTCCTGTTAGTCATTGGTATTGTGATTGTCACATTGGTGAAGACTCCAGCAGTTGATGAAGAGGAAGTGGAAGTCCAAAGGCTGGGAAAATTTGCAGAAATGATCCTAAAATTCGACGTGTGTTTTCAGTGCTGCAGAAAAAAGGTAGTTAGCAGTGGAACAGCCAATCCAGGTTTTATGTTGAGACTGAAGAAAAGCTTTTTTGAAGATTGTTATCGATTCTGTGGAAGGCGCCATGTTGTTGGCTGGACATATAGCACTTCATACAGTTTCATGTTTCGACTTCAGAAACGTTTGCTGCAATATTTCCTAGGTTCCTGGCTTGTTGAATCGTCAAATGAAAATAATATTGATGAAGGTTCCAGAAACGAAGAAATTATTCGTAAATTAGATGAAGTTATGAGTCTGTGCAATCATCTTGTTGACACTGTTCGAAAGCAAGAAGAGGAAATTTCAAAACTAACCCAAAGGAAGTTGGAAAAATAAAAACATTTGCATGTTAGTACACTTTTTGGCATCAAAATTCCATGACTTTCCAAAGAGGTTTTGTTATTTTTCCATGACTCAGTTTTCCTTTAACTTTTTGGGCATATTCACGATACATGTATCCTATTACATGTACAATAACTGTAATTTTTAAAAAATGTCAAAAGATTTATTTAATGATTTGTGATTGTGATTTATTGATATTTAAGTAATTAGCTGCTTGAAATGGATCAGCATATATGTTTTTTTTTTCAATATTTCACTAGTTACTTCACTCTTCCGAAGTTTATTTTGATTTCTTTCTGAAGACTTTCTCATAATATAAACTGACAAAGAAGAATTAAATTCCCTCTATCCATGGTTACGTAGAGATATTGTGTCTTGGACTAATAAATAGTACCAGACTCAATATAAAAGACGTATGGAACCATTTATTCTTAGCGTGACTCGTTAAAGAAAACTAAAAATTTCTAAATAGACTTTCTCCCCATTTTATATCACATGGCTGATACATATAATTATTCAAGTGTGTAACACAAACACGCAACAGTTACCGAATTAGATCACAAGTGCCAGAATATTTTTTTTCTTCTTTTCTTTTTCTTTTTTCCCCTTTTTTACAGCTTGTCTACAAATGTTAGAGTACCATCACGAAGACATTCAAATACAGATCTGTTATCTGGTGGTGGCAGCAGTGGCTCCGAAAAGGATATAATACTATTTGTATCACTAGTCTCCTAGTAACGCTACATAGTGTTGGTTTAATCCTGTCCTGGGCAGGTGCTTGCTTCTGTATTTTGGGGTGTCGGTTCTTCCGGCCGTGACAAAGGGGTGCATTCGCCGGAATTGCTCGAGGGGGAGAAAGTTATTTGGGCAAGCAAGGCTCAGGCGTGGTACGTGCGATGCAAGGAAGGAAGGCAGCTGCTAGGGCCTGGGTGCGAAGACGAACCCATCCAGCTCCTGGAAGAATCTCTCGGGCACGAATAGAAAGTTGGAGAGCATACAACTATAAACAGTGAATCCTTTGTGCTACTGAATAAAGGTCTGCTACTCAGGTATTACTTTCACATACTCTGTAATATCTAGTTTAAACTTTATCTTAAGTAGAAACACCATTCAACATGATCGTATATAACGTTAAAACAGGTACAGCATTTGATATCAAACATTTGAGATGAGCTTCTACTGTAATCACTCAGGGAGTAGCGTGGCGTTGACACTGGCCATGCTAATGAAATATTCAGTTGATACAGACTGGATAAAGGTCAAAGACAATTTTATTAGGTTTTAAGGTATGTGTTTAGTCTTTACATTGTTATTGATTTCTGGAAAAGCGTTTGTGCTGCCAGTGTAAGCTTATTGTATTGTTGTATTTTCCTGTTGACATTAAAGTGATTGATATAGCTTTTTTTTTTTTGTTTTTCCCCTGTGTTCATGATATACATTCTTATGGAATACCAAATTTTTATGCCATCAGAGCCTGTCTGAAAATAGAGGCTGGACATCTTCCCTCCTGCATTGTTTTTTCCATTTTATCAGAGCACATTAGATATTAACCTAGATAGACTAGCAAATGGCGTGACGGAATTTTGTCGATTTTGTTTGGATTTCTCCTTTATTATCTTGTTACTTTGAAAAGGCCAGTGTTATCTGGGGATCAAATGTGTGATGTTTGCAGTCCTAATATTAAAGCATAAAGAAAGATTTAGCAACATCCTTGGGATATATGGCCGCACAGTGTGACCTTTCTGCCTGTAAACGCTGTAAGCGATATCCGTATTCCATGTTAAGGGCACTGACCTTTTCAGTATAGATTTACAGAATACCGATGCTGTGTACATCTTGAATTATTCTCAACTCTGTTTTAGAATTTTCTTTGTGACTAAGGCATTCCACAATGTATGGACC